GGGGCAGCTTCTCTTCCCTGGGGACCGCCCGCCCCGAGATAGTTTCGTATTCGTTTGGGGTCAGGGGGGACCTGAATAGACCTAGTCTGACCCCCGCCGCTGGCCGCAGCCCACGCTGGGCTCACACGACCCCAGACAGGTGATTGTCCACCCTCTCTTTGAATTTACCCAGGGCAGGAGCGAGCACCACTTCCCTGGGAAGTTGGTTCCAGATCCTGGCTGCCCTGACTGTGAATATTGCCTCCTAATCTCTAGCCTGAACCTGTTCTCCAGCAGTGTCTGGCCATTGTTGCCCGTCACCCCAGGTGGTGCAGGGGGGAATAGTGCCCTTCCTAGTTGCTGCTGATCTCCCCTAACGAGTTTGTAACAGGCCACCAGATCCCCTCTTAGCCTCCGCTTGCTGAGGCTGAACAGGGTCAGGTCCCGTCGCCTCTCCTCGTAGGGCCTGCCCTGCTGCCCCCAATCATGCGGGTGGCCTCCTCTGGACCCTCTCCGGGCTGGCTGCATCCCTCCTGAAGTGCGGCGCCCAGACCTGGACGCAGTACTCCACCTGCGGCCTGACCAATGTTGCGTAGAGGGGGAGGATCACCTCTCTGGACCAGCTTGAGATGCATCTGTGGATGCGGGTGCATTGTGGGGAGCCTGGAGCAGGTCCCACTGCCCTTCCTGGTGCTGCTGCCGCCTCAGTTTCCCTGTGGACTTGTGGCTTCTTTCTCTGGCAACACGGCACATCCTCGCGGCTGGCACAGGGCATGCAGGGGTCTGATGCTGTGTGCACCGCCCGGCCTGGCCCAGCCCAGCCCAGACCCCCTGGACCACCCCTGCCCTCTCTCCACAGCTGGAGGTGGCTGCAGGCCACAGCCTGGCCGGCAGGGTATGGGGACAGCGTGGGGGCCCTGAGACCGCGTCTGGGGCCCCAACGAGCCATGACCGCGACGGTGCAGACGCTGCGGTTCCAGCTGCTGCCGCAAGACGCCAGCCCGGGCTGGGCACGCAGCTGTGAGCAGGAGATTGAGCGCCGGTACCAGGTGGTGCCCTCTGTCGTCTGTGCCATGTGCTGCCTCTTCGGCATCATCTACTGCTTCTTTGGTGAGGAAGGACGGGGCAGGGGGTGGGGACAGGGACGGTGTGACCTGGGGTGGGGGTGTCAAGGCAAAGGGGCAGGCAGGAGAAGGGTGCAGTCATCCTCCTGGTCCCTCAGCATGTGGGGGGGCTTGACTCCCTGCCCCCCACAGCCGCCGGTCCACAGGTGTGTGGACACAGGGCAGCACCATGCAGCAGCTGGGCATGATGGAAGTACAGCCCCATGCACACACCTTGTATGCAGCCCATGCAAGGAGGTCACGGTGCTGCACCCCAGGCTGCAGCAGGCCCCAGGCCCCTCCCTGGAGCTCAGACATAAGGTCCTGGGGGTGAGGGTGTGGGAGCCACGGGGAGGGGAAAGGAGGACAGGGCAGTGGCAGCTCAGACCTGACTGACACAGCAACAGCCACAGCCACAGCCAGGGGGGCTTGCTGACAGCAGGGATAAGCTGGGAGAACAGCCCCGCGGTGTCTTCCCCAGCTCAGCCTCGGGCCCTGTCCCTGCCCTCGTACCCTAGAGGGGATGGGGGGTGTGGGGACTGTGGCCTCATGTTCCCTGACCGCAGCCTTGTCCCTGCCCTCGTGCCCCAGTATGGGATGGGGTACAGTGGGGGCTGTGCCCCCATATCCCCCCAGCCAGGGCCCTGTCTCTGCCCCCGCACCCGGGAGGGGCTGTGGTGCAGCCGGGAATCTGGGCTAGGGATGCAGGGGCAATGGCCCCATATCCCCCGACTGCAGCCCTGTCCCTGCCCTTGCACCCTGGCCAGGGGTCCAGGGGTCTATGGCCCGGGCCAGGAGGCTGCGCCCATTCCCCTGACAGCTCCCCCACCTCCCTCTCAGGATACCGGTGCTTTAAGGCAGTGATGTTCCTGACGGGGCTGATGTTTGGCTCCATCGTCATCTTCATGCTGTGCTACAAGGAGCGGGTGCTGGACACACAGCTGAGCGTGGAGGCCTCGGTGGGCATCGGGCTGGGCATCGGCGTGCTGTGCGGGCTGGTCACCATGCTGGTGCGCAGCGTGGGGCTCTTCATGGTGGGGCTGCTGCTGGGGCTGCTGCTGGCCGTGGCCGGGCTGGTGGCCATGGAGCAGTTCTACCACCCGCCCACAGTGTGGGTGCCGCTGGGGCTGCTGCTGGGCGGGGGCCTGCTGTGCGCCGTGCTCACACTGCAGTGGCAGCGCCTCTTCACCACACTCTCCACTGCCGTCTTCGGCAGCGCCGTCATGACCGTCACAGCCGACTACTTCCTCGAGCTCTTCCTGCTGGTGCAGTACGTCTACGAGCGCGTCAAGGCGGCACCCGCCCGACCCGTCTGCTGGTACAGCTGGGTCGTGCTGGGCCTCTGGCCGCTGCTGGCCGTGCTGGGCGTCCTGGTGCAGTGGAAGGTCACGGCCGAGGGCTACTCGCACACCGAAGGTAAGGGAGGGGCCGCAGGCGGCGGGTCTGGGGGTTGGAGGTCAGCGTCGGGCTCAAGTGACTGGGGTGCTGCTTCGGGGCTTAGGGCCCTGGGAGTGACTGTCTCAGTGTCTGGGTATTGGGAACTCATGCCAGGAGTGTCAGCATTGGCGCTGGGGACAAGGAGGATGTGGGGGGGTTGGCAGAGGCAGGGAGGTGGTAGGGAAGGGGCTGCAGGGCCTGGGTGGGCAGGCCCTGGGCATGGGAGGGGGGCCCGGGGGACACGGGTGCTGCCAGCCCCTC